GGCTAAGGAGAGTGATGTTTCTCCCGGTTTGATCGTCGAGGTGTGGTACAGTAAGCCCATAAACATGAGGAAGCTCCTCAGCCCACCTTCCTTTTGGCTTTCTCCAACCTTTCTTTAACCATCCAATACAATTTTTGTTTGATGCTTCTGCCTGGCCATTTTGCTTGGGGATATCTGCGTGGATAGAGTTGTAGTAGTTCTATCTTGTACTCCTCACAAAAGCCTTCTAAAAACTTGCCGTCAAACTGTGTTGCCGTTGTCTGATATTCAGCGCTTGGGTATGCCGAATCGAGTGATGATATTTCTGCTAGACGAACCTTCTTCACATCTTTCTTCCTTTATTGAATCTAGTGCTTCTACTTCCACCCACTTTGTTGGGAAGTTAGTCTGTTTGCTGCGAGGAAGAACTTTCTGTTGCCGGTGCGTTGGAAAGTGGTCCCTACTATGGTCCAAGCCCCACATGCGGAAGAGCCATGGAGTAGTTAAAGGGTAGAAGGTTTTCTCTGGCTGGCTGATATATTTGTGTGTTGCGAACTTCTAACATTTCTCGCACTTTCTTGACATTATTCTCTGATCTGCTTGCATGTAAGACCACCAATATCCTGCGAAATTGCTTTTGTAAGCCAATGATCTCCCCCCTTGCGTGGGCTGTCCGCATACGCCTTCATGGAATCTCGAACCAGGGAATATGCTTCGACTTTGCTGGGATGGACACACTTCAGGTAAGGTTCCTGGTGAAGGATTCTGTACAAGGCCATTTGATGGGGGAGAGCCAAAATCACTGTGACTTTGCCTCGTTTATCTTTGTTTGGTCTCCTTCTTCTCTTCGAGTAAAATGCCGTTCTTTAGGGGAACACTATGATGGGGATCCATCCATGAAGGTCCAGTTCGGCCGCAACATACTTCTTCTACTTCAGGTTCTCAATGGCTTGGTCTGGGGGGTAGGAGCAACTCGATCAGTAATGGAGTGGGCTGGATGTATCTGCCATTGAAGGAAATGGCCTGCTGTTCGTCTGCTCTGCTGTTTTCTTCTCTGCCAATTCTGCTCTATCCGCACTACTTTCGAACTTCATTGATCTCTTTTTTCTGACTAACTCTGGGTACTTAGCCATCCTTTCACCTTTGCTTTCATAGTATCGCCCCCCTAAATCTCTCTAGAAAGGAAGTTGAATAGAAAAATAACATGAATAAAAATGGAAGTCGCAGTAAATTAAAAATGGAAGTTCATTCAAAAACCACTATACCTTCACGATCTATTTGGAAATTAAATAAAAAAATGGAAATTCAATAAGTACGTAATCACTTGTTTACACGCTCGAGCGTCAAAACTCCCGCTCGAGCGGGTAAGCAACAACTAAGAGCCCGCTCGAGCGTTAAAACTTCCGCTCGAGCGTGAAGGCCAAAATCCGGGCATCACCTTTTGGTTTCAAAGTGCAACCAACCTGTTTCAAACCTGCCCATCACAACCCAAGACTCAAATACAAAGAGTAAAGGCTAGAAGTGATAATGATACAAAAACAAGTCCATGGAACCAAGTCCAGAGTACAGTATACAAAGGAAGGAAAAACCGAGATCGCTATAATTTACCATTTTACCCCTAATTAAAACTGATGTAAGTGTAAGAAATTAAGGTCATTTTAGGGGATATTGGAAAAAGTTTTTGAGAAGTGGCTTCATGACACCAAAATCACTATTCTGTTTTAATAATAGAATAGATATCGATAGATAGAAAATAAAAAAAGAAAAAATAAATAAATCTATATTAGTTATTTGATACTATTATATATGTGAGCACATGACTACAAGTGTGGTGGTTTTTCTTTCTGTCACGTGACAAATTTTTCTATCCTAAAATAAAAAAAATATTATTCAGTAAGACGTTAGATTTTATTAAAAACACTCTTACCATTTAGACAACATGCATATTATGATATTAATTTCTTTATTATTTATTTTAGGCTTACTTATCTAAATTGCACATGTATTGCGTGTGCTACTCACTAACATTATATAAAGTGAACAAATTTATTGGTGTCCTGAAGTATTTCTCACTCATTATGCGAAGTGTCAAACACTACAACAAAAAGCACAATCGGCGACTAAAATATCATTTTTCGTCGCGGAAAGTACGGTTTTTGCGACTAAAATGGAATTAGTCGCCAAAGTTGATTAGTTTTGCCGACTAAAACAGTTTAGTCACCGAATATAATGGTTTTAGTGACTAAAAGGCAGTTTAGTCGCCAAATATAGGGGTTTTAGCGACTAAAATAATTTAGTAGCCAAAAGTGATGGTTTTGGCGACTAAAAAACAGTTTGGTCGCCAATTATAGGTGTTTTGCCGACTAAAAATAGTTGGTCACTGAAAGTGAAGCTTTTTGGCTACAAAAAAAAATTAGTAGCTAAAAACAGTCAATTGCCGACTAAAACTCAGTTTAGTAGCCAAAAGGGGACGTTTTTGGCGACTAAAAACAGATTTAGTCGCCAAGACTGCTTTATTTTTAGGCGGAACTTAATTTTTTAGCGATTAAAAAATAATTAGTAGCCGAAAATTATAGAATTGGCGACTAAAAATTTAATTTAGTCGCCAAAAGTGGCCTAATTTTTTTTTAGTAAATAATTTATTTTTTACATAAATTATATTGAATAAAAATAATTATATTTATATATATTGTTTTGTATTAATACCGGTCAATATACTATATAAATAATATATATTGCGTATATATTCATGTGATGTTGTAGTGGCATAGTGGAGAGAGTGTGTTGCTAAAGGTTTGGAATGTGGGACGGTTGGCGGTTCGAAACTCAGAAAAAGCAAAAAGTGGGTATTTTTTTTCGACGAAAACACCTTTGGTGACTAAAATTATTAGTCGCCAAAAGTCTTTATTTTGGCGATTAAACGGTTTAATCAGCGATTCAGTGAGTTTTGGCGACTAAATTATTTGTCGGTAAATGTATGATTTTCAAAAGTGTAAAACACTATTGGCGACTAAAACTTTGGTCACTAAAGACCTGTATTTTGATGACTAAAAAAGTTTTAGTCGCCAATACCTCCGCTGACTAAAAAATTTTGTCAGGGAAAGTAAAATTTCAACTTTTGACGACTAAAAACGGACTTTTGGCGACTAAAAATTTCGTCGCCAAAAGTGCTTTTTTTGTAGTGATTACCAAAAAAAAAAAAGGGTTATTTATTACACTAGTACTAATTAAAGATTCTCTGGTAATAGTAGATACTGTATTTGTAACAAGGGAAGGTCTAACTCACAACTCTACTGTTTCATTCTCTCACTGAACACTAGAAGAGGCCGAGTCGACCATTTATAGCTCTCTCTCTCTCTCTATATATATATATATATACACACAGTGAATTTATATATTAGTTATGAAATATAAATATGTATCACCTTTATCCATTACCCATCACTTGTCATCACTGTTTTTGTATTTGTGTTTCACCCTTTGTTTGATTGGAGTATTTGATCTTTACTTGTGACCTAATGTTTAACCTGTTCGTCTCTTTTATGGCTAATCTATTTTTTCGTAAAATCTTCAACTCTTTCTTTCCAATGGAATCATCGGAGATGAGACTTTGTGCATTCGGGTTTGTATGTTCACTAGGGGTGGATACGGGTCGGTTGCGGTCACGGAACCTCCAATCTGCCATCCGTCCGCCAAATTGGCGAATTGGAGAAAATCAATCCGCATCCGTCCGCCAATCCGGCGGATGTGGATTGAGCGGCTTGGCGGATGGATGCGAATTGGTTTGGCGGTTTAAGATTTTATAAATTTTCAACATAATTCAACTTGTGCACTTCCTCAAAAAAAAAAAGAAAAAAAGAAAGTATTACAGTCAATGACTTAAAAAATTATTACAATCGCTGTATGTCTCATCCAAAAAAAAAAAGTTTGAAACTTTAGAATATCACAATCACTGCGTGGCTCATCCACATATTACAATCATAGCATGATTCATCCACATAAAGTATCACAATCTGTGATTCTTAAAATATAATAACAATTCAAACCACCAAAACCATGAATAGGGCAGTAATAGAGATTGTATGCCTCTGTATTGTTACATCTATATATGTTTTTAAAAACAAAAACCAACTAGCATATATATCATATTTTCTATTTATTATTTTTAGAATTAAATTTAAAAACCAAAAAATATAAATAAATAATACGTTTATTTTTTTCAATTCAAAAAATATATTAAAGTTGAAAACTTTTTTTCAACAGAATATTTAAACTCTTTTTTAATTGAAAATACAAACAAAATATTTAAACAAATTGAAAATATAAAGTCTTATAAATTATTAAGGGTGCTCACGGTTTTGGCGGTTCAGTTGTGGCCAAAGGAATCTCAAATCTGCCATCTGTCCGCCAAATTGGCGGATTGGAGAAAATCAATCCGCAACCGTCCGCTCGTCATCACGCATCCGTCCAAAATGCGACGGATCAGATCGATTCGGTCGATTTTGACGAATCGATATATCCGCTGCTCACCTCTAATGTTCACCATCAAATTTGAGAAAATACCCATTATGCTTATATATTTGCCTTTTTTTTACTTTGAATTTCTAAATTGGTGGTTTGGTCAGTTCTTATGCTCACCACATGTTTGATGAAATGTGCATTACTGTTGGAATGTGAAAAATATGTGGTATACCTGTCTTCCTATTGAGAACAATTATAACTATTTTGGGTGGTAATCTTCCAGCACTTTTACCATTGATTGGTAGAAGTTCTACTTGCGCAATTGCCCGGGTTGCGAAACCATGCAATTTGGTTTTATTGGTTTTTGTCATTTTCCAATTTCTTAATATGGAATCAAGAGACCAGTGAGTTTGCAAAGTTGTTCCACAATCTGTATTTACATTTACTACACAATCCCTAGTTAATTCTAGCCAAAACTTCATCAGCTAACCCTAGCACCTTACTTTTAATTTTTTTTTTTTTTTACATTTAATAAATAATCTGTTCAAATTAAAATTTGTGGCACACGACACACCCATTACTCAAAGCATAGGCAACCCTACTTTAAATTCTTTTTGTTCCATTATGGAATCAGTTCAATCATTCAATGATTGGTCCTTTGTCCAAATATCTCTAACCTAGGATTCATGGATTGAAGTAAGATATGTGAGACTTGAGAGTTGTGGGCCTCACTTGATAAAGAACAAAATCTCTCTATAATAGCTTAGCAAGCCACAATTTTGATTGAGGTTGTGCGAGGAAGAAAACTCCTCAAATCCCTTTCATACTGAAACCTTTTGAAAAGATAATTTGGTATGATATTTCATATTTGCATTTGGGGTTCTATGGTTGATTATGATTCTTCTTGATTCTTTATTACCAATTTGTTTTTCTTCTAGTTGTATTAATTTGTTTTATTTCACAGAAATCTTTTCATTATCATGTTCATTTCTAGACTTTTTGGGAGGACCCTCTTTGCTGCAGCCAAATCAGAAGCTTTTGCTACAGTTGCTGCAGCTGGTTCTATAGCTAGAACAAGCTACAACCCTCTTGAGGAGTTCTTTGAGGTAGATAGAAGCGCAAATGATGTTAGAATTTACCTACACCTACTACCACACCTACTACACCTACCACCAATTTACCCTCACCTACTCCTCACCTACTACCCAAACCCTCCCCTATATAATGAGCTACTCTGCTTTGTAATATAACACATCAATGTATCAGATGAATCAATACAATCAATAATAATACATCAGTTATTTCTTTATTTATTTTATTTAATACATCAGTTATTTTACATGGTATCAGAGCAAGGTTAAGAACCTGATCATTCTGCTTCACCGGCGGGCGGCAGCCTCGCCTTGGCCGCCCGCCGGACCTCAACCTAGTCTGCTTGTTTTTTCTACACATACCTTCTTCCATAATTAAGCTCTTCTCTGCCTTTACAATGGCTGCCAACGAAGACCAAGCGTTTCCAGACCCATCCTCCACACAGACCATCTCATATACACAAGAGATGCTTGATATCTCTCTCTCTCTCTCTCTGCACCTGGTCTCTCTCTCTCTGGCATGAACTGGTTCGGAGATGAAGAGATGCAGGGGAGAGCTCCTTCCCGTTCACTGAAATGGGAAGTCCTGAAACTATCCCAATTTCTACGTATTCAGATTGGTTAGGTGCATCTTCTGGGTCAACGGACATCATGTACATATCTTTATGCGGCTCATTTGCTGGGTCTTCCAGGATGTCTCCCTCGTGACTGAGGTGCCATAAGTTCCTGTCTCTGCTGTAGATAGATTTCTTGGTCACTGGGACAGGTACATTATGTTTCTTAGCATATTCAATAGCATCTTCTCTCCCTCTGATTTCGGGCATCTGCTCTCGGGCTCTCTCTCTCTCTTTCTCGCACGAGCGTCAGGAAAAGAACCACGAACCATCACCATTTTCTTCTAACTGCCGCTGCTACTATAAGAGGATGCCCAAAGTCGCAGCACCAACTCCTCAGTGTTCGAAATTTGGTGGACGCCCGAATCATCAAAACTGGTTTTGGACCCCAATACATGTCGCTCTACACATCTCCACTGCTGGAGAATATATTGCATACAGGGAAAGGAACTTGGAGGAAAAGATGGATGTGGATGGTGGAAATACTCGAGTGGTTTCCGACAAAAAAAAAAAAAAACAAAAAAACAAAGGGGCTCGGGCTTGGTGTGCCTCAAAAGGGACTATTCCCCACACCACCCCTCTTTTCTTTACACGTCCCAACTCTCTCCACTCATTCCTTTTATTATTTTTTATGCCCCCACTTAGAATCCACAACCATCACACCAACACAATGCGCTTTCACCCACGTTCTTTCACACCTTTTTTTTTTTCTTTTACTATATCTCTATCTATATTTTTATTCTCCTCTCTTTCCTCTATCCCTCCTTTAATTTTATTTTATTTTCTTTTCTTTTTTCTATCTTTCTTTTTCTATTCACAAATATTTTTATCTATTTTCTTTTACAATTATTTTATTTTCTTTTATTCTTCCACAAAACCACCTTTCTTTTTTGCTTTCACATATCTTCTTCTTCTTTCTTTCTTTATTTTTCTTTCCCATTATTTTTTAATCTTTTTCCCATTCCATTCATACCATATAGCTTTGCACACCACACCATATTTTATTCCTCTCAGGGATCAACCCCGATCACCATTTTACACACAACTTAAAAAAAAAAAAAAAAAACAAAAAAAAAAAAAAAAAAAAAAAAAAAAAACACACACACAAACAAACACACAAAACAACCTCACCCACAGTGGGATTTTTCTTCTCTATTCTGCTACAGGTCTCTTCTTCTTGCTTTTCTCTTGGGTGTCCCGTGACTGCCCAGCCTCCGTGCTTCCTAGACCACCAAGCAAGTTGCCTCCTCCCAGCTCCTCCACTGCAGCATATGGTGGCCCTCCAAATCGGAACATCACGGTGGCCTTCCGCTTCAGCTCCTTGTTTTCTGCCCTTAGCACGCTTATCTCTGCTCGCGCATCCTTATACATGCGTTGGAGCAGAGCCAGCTGGGAATTTAAATGCTGCACCTCATTTGTCCTACTCTGCAGCCGGTTCGACAAATTTGTGACCGCCGTCATGCTTTCCACACATGCCTTCAGAGTATACTGATTGGCCTCCACATCCGACTGCACTGCCATTCTTTGCTCCACAGACCGCATCGGAAAGTTCAACGGAGCAAACTCCGGGGCGCTTGGTTGAGGTTCCAGTGCCACCGCACCAGTTCTCTCTCTCGTTGACTCGTTGAGGTCGGGAAAGAAAAGGTCATCTAAGCTATTTGGAGAAGAGGGGAAGATAAAGAAGAATTGAACGCGAATAAAATGCAGAACAATTTTGAGCTTCTGAAGCTTATTCAAATGATGAATGCAGTTTCAGTAATGTAAATCTTGTATTTTGCACTGCTTGATTGTGATTTGATCAGATTCAGGACTCCACTTTGCATTTGCTTATATATGCCAGTAGCCATTTTTATAATGTTAATAGTGGCGGACATGCATATACAGGGACCAGGATTAGGCTTAGATTAAGTTAATTATCTTTAGAAAAAGATACAGACCTCAATCAGGCATGTTGCTCCTTCTCCATCCCAAGCTATTGATTTTGCAAGACCTTGCATTACCTGAAAGAAGTACACCAAATTCTCAGTAAATTCAGCCCAGAGCAGGTCAAACTAATTTTAGAAAAATCCAGGCCTGTAAACTGTCATGGACCATCTCATGAACAGCCCTGCCAAGAGGAAAATATGATCCTACAATGAGGGGCATTTGTGCTTGGAAGGAGATCAAAAAAGGGCCAACCTAGAAGTAAAGTGTGCGTGAGTGTGTGAATGTCTTCCAACCCCACGTCTTTTTCCCTTTTACTTACCTGTTTTTGATGGTTAGTTTAGGGTCATTTTCAATAAGCATCCTTATGCTATGCATGTTTGCATACATTCATTTGTATTGCATGCACCGGGCTCACGTACAGTGTCCTCTACAACGTTATGACACCACCATTCAGTGTCTTCACCAACGGTCTGACACGACCATCCAGTGTCTCCTATCCTTTTTTATTTTTATGTATTTTCTTGTTTTACTCCTCTCTCCAAACTCAAGTTGGTTAGTTTCTATCCTCCTTGAGTTTGCGGGGGGCTGTTAGAATTTACCTACACCTACCACCACCTACTACCACACCTACTACACCTACCACCAATTTACCCTCACCTACTCCTCACCTACTACCCAAACCCTCTCCTATATAATGAGCTACTCTGCTTTGTAATATAACACATCAATGTATCAGATCAATCAATACAATCAATAATAATACATCAGTTATTTCTTTATTTATTTTATTTAATACATCAGTTATTTTACAAATGATGACAAACCTGTTGTCTATGGTAGAAACTTTTCCTTTTAATTATTTTGTGCTGCTGTATATCTATATACATATGTATGCACTATACATACACAATCTCTAAATTTGATTCTTATTTTTACTAAATCCGGTGTTTGTTTGTTGCATTTATTGAACATATTCTAGTGATCCGGTGAGTAAATTTTGATAAAGGAAGGGCCATATTTTCTTACAAGAATAAAAAACAATAAAATAATATATTGTAGAAGATTTTAAGTATTTGTCTGCCCTTATTCAATTTTATACTGGACTAGAAGTATGAAAAGTTCTGCCACGGTTTGAAATCCAGAAATAGTATAACTAGGAGTTAAAGGTTTTGAGTACCACTCAATGAGAAATTCAACAAAAAAAGGAACTGAAAGACGAACTGGTAGGAAAAGTGGGTGTGGAGTCTACCTTTATTTCTCATTCTCATTTTTGCAAATGATACCATGATTTTTTTCATGCTGAGGAAGATCAGCTATTTATATATATATAATAAGATGTGTGTTAATCTTCTTTGAAGTGAAGTTTGGTTTATAGGTGAATTTGAACAAGAGTGAGCTTAATCCTGTGAGAAAAGTGCAAGATATTAATACTCTTGCTTTGAATTTGTGATGGTTCGTCCTCCTACTTAGATCTTCCTAGTGGATTTTCTTGTAAGGCTCTACTGTGAGACAATTTGATTGAACACTTCAAAAGCAGATCGGTGGGATGAAAAAGGTAGTATGATTCTCTCTAAGAGAAGAAAACTTACCCTCGTTAAAAGCACTTTATCTAGCCTTCCTACATACTTTTTATCCATTTTCACTGTCCTTTCTTTTGTAGCTGAGTGGTTAAAAAAGCTTCAAAGGAATTTCTTGTATGGTGGTCTGGTGAGGAGTTCAAATGCCACCTTGTGAATTGGGGCTGATTAAAATGAAGGAAGGAGATTTGAGTATTTGATAGTTTATAGTATAAAACACTATTACCCTCTTCCCTCTCCCTAATACGAAGTTCGACATCTTCCTACCGACCTTAGTCCACCTCTGGAAGGGCTCTTGTGCTTAAAGTCGTTTTTCCCATTTTTTGAGCGTCTAGAGGCCTCTTAAACTGAATTACTGGCCCTAAAAAGCTTGAGCCTACCTTCAATACAAAGAACCAACATTTCCTTATATGGAGCCATCATCGTTAGGGGCAGGGAGGGAGGGGCACCAGGGGAGGGCCTTGGCCCCTGCAAAGTTTTCAATCTTTTTGTTAGTAATAGTTTACTATTATAGTCCTTCCAAAAGAAAATGGGAAATAGCCTCCCCAAATAGAAAGTTTGTCAAAGAATTTTCTAACCCTTGTTTTTAATAATAGTTCTGCCATTTGTTGTGTACATGTTTTCATCTTCTTTTTGTTTTGAAGGCTGAAATGTTAACTGATGGTGTATAGAGAAATGGTTTGTGTTTGTGATAAAGACAAAAAATGTTCAATAACGCTATAATGATCACATTTGTGTATCGTAAATTATTTATCATCTCATGTGTTACCATTGCATTGGTAACAAACATAAGTAGTTGGGCCTTTTATACCACTATAATGATGACATGTAAGATGGTAAACATTTTATGGTATACAAATGTGGTCATTGTAATATTAATAAAAAATATTTGATAATATTTGAGTTTTCCCAACTACTAGTAGTCAAAAGAAAAAAAAATTACTAATCGATTTAATAGTCAGTATCTTTACAATAATGTTAGGGTCACTATCAAACATAGCGTTAAATATACTAAGTACACACAATGTGAAGTGTGTTTCACGTCAAGTAGGGGAACCCACATATAAGTCTTGTGTCTTAAATGATACGTTTGTTGGTATATTTGTTAGTGTCCTATTATTACTATTTTTTATATTTAGCTTCTCATTTCTTTTTTCCCTTTTTTTTTTCTTGTTAAATGAACAATATGAGTGGGCCTTAACTTTTATTTATTTAGAATTACAATCAATAAAGATGCCATTGTGTTTGATTATGTGTAGTTCACAAGGCAGGTGTGGTTTAGGAAGCTTCCCTTGTAATAGCTTTCCAGAATTGGGGTAAAAGCAATTGCTAGCTTCTTGGATAAATTATATAATGTCAAAATGAGTGGGCTTGGGGAAGATGAATTAAAGTGGAAAGGCAAAAAGGAAAAGTTCACTGTTAAATCTTTCTGTTAAATATATTGATGTATATTATTGATTGATGTTTATATTGTGTATATTTAAAGTGGAAAGGCAAAAAGGAAAAGTTCACTGTTAAATCTTTCTACTCCATTTTAAGTAGTATGAGAGGCAAGGCCTTACAATGGAATCATGTATAAAAATTGGGAGTTTCCATCAAAGTAGCATTTTTTTGTTTGGACACGGGCCTTGGATGCTATCCTCACACAGATAATCAGAGGAAAATGGGACTTTGGAGCTTATTAGTTTCTATATTTGGTGGGTGGTGGGTTACATTAGCTACTATGCATCAGCTTTAGGATTGTTCAGCTCAGGGGTGCCACATAAAGAAGGCTTGAAGGAAAGCTCCTGTGTGTTTAGTGTGGTGCCTTCAGAGAGAAAGAAACCAGTGCACTTTTAAGGATGCACAAATAGCTCTATAGAGACTTAAGCTTAATTTATTACAATTTTTTTTCTTTGTTGGAGTAGTTTTGTGCGTATTCCTTTTTGTTGGTGGAGGGCATATAGTGATGGAGGCAGGTGGATCATTTGCTTTTTCATTATAATATTGTTAAGGAGTTGTGGGACTCATTGTTTTCCATTTTGGGGGGTAGAATGAATGATGCCATTTTCACGATGGATGTTGTTGGAGTGTTGGGGTAATGTTTGCTTGTGAAAGAACATGAAGAAAGTTTGGATGGTGGCACCTCCATGGTGAATATGAAGAGAAATAAATGGATGCATTTTTTAAGAGATGAAGTTAGGAGTTTAAAAGCTTAAGCTGAGCTTTTGCATAGCTTCATTTTTGGTGAAAATATTTATTTGTTTATTTATTTTTGTGAACCCTATTTTCTTTTTGTAGATTTCACAAGGGAGCTCAATTTTTGGATTACCTTTTTGATCTCTTATAATTTTTTGCATCTTTAATATAATTCTTTACTTGCAAATAAATACAATTACTTTTTTGTGAGATGGATAAAAAAAAGACTGATGTAAGGGAAGATTCAGGTGCTTGTTTTTTCAATTTGAGTCATTTCTCCTTAGTAGTTTTAAAGCTTTTAATGATATTATGTATCCAAATATACCACCGGTAGTTAACACTTCTAATTTTCATTTCTGATCTCTTTCTCAAATCTTAAATATTGCTGTCATTTACACATGGTTCAGGTGGCTCACCAATGATTTCTATTAGAGTACTGTCCTTTTAAATTCTTTTTAACATGTTGTTTTTAATAATATTCTCTATGAACTTTTTGTACTTGCGCTCTCTCTCTTTCAGGTCGAAGTTGGAAGGCTTCTGAGCTCCATCTTAAATCTTGGGACGATCTTAACAAGCTGTGGTATGTTCTGTTGAAGGAAAAAAACATGTTGATGGCTCAACGCCAGATGCTTAATGCACAGAACCTATGGTTTCCTAATCCAGAGCGTATCCCCAAGGTATAACTCAGATTTTTTGGTTATCTTTTGGTACAACCATTATATGTTTTTACGAACACTTTAAATATTTGTTACCATACACTTGTTCTTTATGAGTTGAATGAGCTTACTATTTTCCTTCCAACCCTATGCAGTTGTGCCCTATCGGTCTTGGTTTCATTAATTTTATGATATTCTTGCATTAGAAATGCACAGGATTTTTGTTTTACAATGTTTCAACCAAATAGGAATTTAGTGTTCTGAATAAATTATTCCTGTTTTTTTTCACTGTAGCTAAAATAGGTGCCTCCGAGTGGGCACGTTTGAGTTGTTTCCTTGTGTTTTTTTGAGGTTCAAGTCCATATAGCATTATGGATGCGAAGTCTTAGTCATTGTCAAATTGTTTTGTCTTCACTATGGATTTCTAATCTAAATGGTAGTCAAGATTATATAAAATAAAATAAAAATCTAAATAGTAGTCAATTGTCTACTTTGAATGCAGAAACTGAATTGTAGTATAGCTGCAAAAAGTTGTTTATTTTAAATGCAGAAACTGAATTGACCCTATATAAGCTTCCCTGTGTTTTTTATTCTCTTAGTTGCAAACTTATTCCTATCTTTGTAGTGATCAATATGCTTGCCACATCTAGTTCAAAATTAGAAATTCTACGATTTTGATTTATGTTGCTTGGTTGCCACGAAAATGGAAAAAGAAGGAAATATGTGGTATTTAGCATGTTTTGAATTCTTTTTGCTCTAGTCCATCTTTTTTCCTCTCTCTTAATCGTGCTTGTGGTTGGTGATGAGATGAAATGAAATTAAGGTCAAGAAGTCTACTGAAAGAGCTATCGAGGAACTAGATTCGAGAAGGTCTGTCGAGATGAAAAGGATGGTAAATGCTCTACGATGACATCCAAAATGCTTATCTTTCGGCGTTTGCACTGATTAGGTTTTGTTGGTCGACTTTAATGGTGCCTTTTGTCTTGTTGTCGGTGCATAGGGTTTTGGCTAGAACTTGTATCCATGGACAACTACCTTCTAGTGATTTTATAGATAGCTTCATATATATTTCAGGGCGATCATTAATGTAAGAGCATCTCCAACCCATCCTTCATATCTTCAAGTATGAAGGATGGTCTCCTCCAACCTACCCTTCAAATTCATCTCCATTTGGGAGGAGAATGAATTCATCCTTCATATTTGAAGGGAGGATGAAAAAATGAACGATCCCTCCAAAATACTATTCATTTTGTATTTCTTATTATATTACAAATAACTTTTAATTTGTAAATTTAATTTTTATAAAATTGACATCATTAAAAAGTATAAAATCATACCTTTAAAATGAGTATAATATTAAATATATTTTACAAAAATTTTAAAATTAAATATTTATTAATGAATAAAAATTACTTTTTGAATAGAGTTTGAATGAAGGAAATAAAGGTTTGTGGTTGGAGTTTGAATGAATAGTGACCTCCTCTATATTTACTTTTTGAATAAAAAATATTATTTTCATCCTCTTAACGAGAGTATTACATTAGAGATGCTCTAAGTAACGTTTTGATTCATTACAACGAACCCTACCAACATATAGCCCACAGTGGTGTTGGGAATAATTGGTAGACCATCATATCTTGTGGGCTGTATAACTATTCTCTTTTTGGACATGTTCCATGTTTTGCTATTACTGCCAGGGTACTTCACATGCTCTTTCTCTCTCTCTCTCCTTGCATACAGATGGTACGTGGCATAATTACACTTAAAAATCAGAAAAGTGCTCAGAATTTGAAAAGTGTCAGATTTATTTAAAGAAAGATAGAACGAGAGTGATCAACTATAGCAATCCTCTTTAGGTGTGAGCGAAGAGCCCCTATCTACTAAAGAGTCAGACCAGATGAGCCTAAACATGCTTAACAAAGTAGGGGTGCTGCATAGGGAAAAAATCCCTTAAGACTGGCTTGAACCTTAGCTTGATCCCAGCTCCGTTAGAGTGCTAGGAAGTAGAAACTGAAAGTAAAGGAGGATGTGAACTATGCTACCCTAACCCTGTGTTTGGTTGGGGGATTTGGGAAGGGAAATGGAAAGGGAAATGGAAATGAAAGGAAAAAGAGAAAGAATTAATATAATTCCAAATCCCAACTATGTTTGGTTGTGTTGGTTATAAAATAGAATTGATGTCCTAAAAGGTATCCTATTTCTTTATTTATTTCTCACCCCCTTTCTTTTCCCATATATTTTTTATTATAACCAAACATAAATAGGATTACATTTCTCATTCCTTTTCCAAATCCCACCTCAAAAACTTCAACCAAACACAACATAAAAGAAACTTGAACCTAGGGCCACTTACTTATCAAACCCACTAGGAGTGAGCTCCCAACCATTAGACTAACACCTGTGTTTGTTTTGAGGGATTTTTTTGTGGGATTGGACTATTAATGTGTGAAATATTCATTTTACCCGCATGCTATTACTTAATAAACAATTGGCAAAGGGTAAAATAGTCATTGAACATTTATAATTTATTTTTTTAGTGTTGTTAATTTAAAATTATATATTAAATAAAAAATATAAATTATAAATTTAATTTAATTTAATTAAAAATAATAAATTAAAAATTATGGCCTAATAAATTATATTAAATAAAATTATTTTTTTAGTGTTGTTAATTTAAAATTATATATTAAATAAAAAATATAAATTATAAATTTAATTTAATTTAATTAAAAATAATAAATTAAAAATTATGGCCTAATAAATTATATTAAATAAAATTATTTTTTTAGTGTTGTTAATTTAAAATTATATATTAAATAAAAAATATAAATTATAAATTTAATTTAATTTAATTAAAAATAATAAATTAAAAATTATGGCCTAATAAATTATATTAAATAAAATTATTTTTTTAGTGTTGTTAATTTAAAATTATATATTAAATAAAAAATATAAATTATAAATTTAATTTAATTTAATTAAAAATAATAAATTAAAAATTATGGCCTAATAAATTATATTAAATAAAATTATTTTTTTAGTGTTGTTAATTTAAAATTATATATTAAATAAAAAATATAAATTATAAATTTAATTTAATTTAATTAAAAATAATAAATTAAAAATTATGGCCTAATAAATTATATTAAATAAAATTATTTTTTTAGTGTTGTTAATTTAAAATTATATATTAAATAAAAAATATAAATTATAAATTTAATTTAATTTAATTAAAAATAATAAATTAAAAATTATGGCCTAATAAATTATATTAAATAAAATTATTTTTTTAGTGTTGTTAATTTAAAATTATATATTAAATAAAAAATATAAATTATAAATTTAATTTAATTTAATTAAAAATAATAAATTAAAAATTATGGCCTAATAAATTATATTAAATAAAATTATTTTTTTAGTGTTGTTAATTTAAAATTAATAAATTATAAATTATGACCTTATAAATTAAATTTTTTTAGTGCTGTTGAAAATTTAATTTATATATTAAATAATTTTTTTATTGTCGTTAATTTAAAATTATATATTAAATAAAAAATATAAATTATAAATTTAATTTAATTGAAAATAATAAATTAAAATAATAAAATATTGTGCAAAAAATAAAATCAAACAAATTTTTATTTAATCTAGTTAAAAATAATTAAAATATTAAAGCAATGTTTAATATTGTTATTACTTAGTAAATAATTGAAAATGATAAAATAGTCATTTGAGCATTTAATATGTTTGTTCGG